TTTGCATCTTGAAATATAAATGCAATCAAGGCACAGTGGCTGCTCATGTGCACACACCTTCAAATTGGTTTTGACAGTCCATGCCGTGCAGTGACTGATTAGCTCCGACGCGAGACGGGCTTTTTGCCGTGGTACGGTCCAGTTGGGCTTTAAGTGTCAGGAAAACTTTCAGACAGTAAAATGAGGTTTTGCAGACAAAACAAATCATCCTAAACAAAAGAAAAACTCATAAAGATACACACACTTGAAGTGATACAACACAGAACACGTTTTAAAGCTGTGGTTCCCAACCTTTTTAACTTCATGAAGAGGAACACATTTAAAGACGTTTAAGTCAGTTTATAGGATATAGGACAAGGGTGAGATTTTTGCAACAGCATCAGATGCGAATTAGTGTCTCTGAGTGGAACTGAACCAGCAACCTTTTACTTTGTTAGTCCAAACCACTACACTATGGAGATATATCCATGATGTCATATATTACTCCCAATCATAAGCCAGTGCCAAAAAATTTAGAGCAGCTCTGAACTGTTGTAGATAATATCTAAAGATGTGTATGACGACACACAAGTTACAAACAGCAGGATCAGACATTAAATCATTTTCTTTTTTTAAACATGCCAGTTCAAATCTAAAACTGCACAATTATTAGAATAGGGAAGGGAATTTGTTTGGAAACGTGCCCTGTGCCTCCCTCCCACACACACACACACACTATACTTGGGCAACTCTGTCACCTAAACTGAGCATGCCCAGAAGTGATAATGCAGCTGATACAAATTATCTCATGCTGCGTGATACATATGAAAGAAAAACTCTAGTAAATCTCCCAAACTGAGATCACATGTAAAAAAAAAAAGGCTATAGCCTGTATATAAAGGATGGCTGTAGCCACATTACATCACCCACTCCTACACATCTACACATCATGACCAATCTTACTGAGGGTCTGAGGGCTTGTTAATCACAGTGTAGGCCTTCACCAAATTAGACCCTATTTCATTGTTTATTTTATTCTAAAAGTAGTTTACAATATGAACACTATACTCTATTAAATAACAGACAATAAAAGGGGAGAGTTACTGAGATATTAAGTGAGAAGTCTACTTGCATCTTCTTCTATGCAAGTGGACTTCTTTCTGCAAGCACTCGCCCACTGCTGGCTATGAGTCAGAATCCAGGTTTAAAATGGCTTTATTATTCAGACTCAGAGTATACTACTACTACTGGATTTGTGTGGTAGGGTTGTGATTACTACAGTTTTTTACATTGAGAAGGGCTAGGGCTGCACTAAAGCCTCAACCAGTATTGACTTGAATTGTAGGTACTTCATTTTTTTTTATTTCAAAGGGAAGGAGTGTTTGGAATAATAAAGCTATTTTTAACTCTTTACCCCTTGAAAGCCTGCTAGGAGTAAGCCCTTCAAATCCTTTTCTGAACTAAGCAGTTTCTGGTGATTGGGTTTGCAGCAGAAGTTAGTGAGGGTGGTCTCTGCCTTTGCTGCTACCTTTGGAAAAATCTGGAAACTATTTTAATGGCAGACTAAAGACAACATTTTTATTCTAAAAGGTCAAAACTCATTAAGGCCACAGAGCGGGTCATCAAATAACGTCTTTATAGGGAAAAGCATTTGGACAGTGTGATGCATTTATAAGGATGCATAGTTATGGTTATTGACCAGTTTGAGGAAAATATTACAACAGTTCAAATAAAATGACTTGTCGTCACTCATGTGACTTACAGGTCACCTCGCCCTTAGGTTGGGAACAACGGCCTTAAAAATCCGCTGCAATAAATTTCACGTGTGAAAATAATGACAAGGATTATTCATAGCACAACAATAACTTGTCACGGAAAGATTTCCTTATACACAAACCTTACAAAAAGCTGCTTTATATAGCCATGGGATCATGACTCAATGCATATGTTTACTCTCATCATGACTTCTGTCCTTTCAGAGTTCTTGGGTATGTTGATGATTTTCACATTTAATCAGTGCCATATTTTTCAGTTTGAACTATAAACACACATACGTATACATTCATATTAATTCACTCCTTGATTAAAGATAAAGGCACCAGAGTCCCCCCACCCACCACCACCCCACCCATGCTCACTCAACAAAGCGTCCTGTATGTCAGCACAGGTCTTTCTCTTCCATGAGGCTGTTCTACAATACTGAAACCTCATGAAAATGCAGCATTAAGCTTATAAAACTACTCCGTTCATGGAAATGTTAAAGTAAAATGATTGTGTATGGATTATGTCAAACTAAAGCTGAAGAATGATATGGACTGTGAAGCACAAACATGAAAAAAAAATGAGCATCGGGTTCTTAAAATACAGTTTTATTTGTGAATTTACACAGATTAGCAATACATCTAAAAGCAACTCCATTAGATAACCATTTATATAGGATTTTCACAGGTCACAAAGTAGCTTGGCTCATTCTGGCATGCCAAAGCAAAACTCGTTCTTTTTGTTTGTTTGCCTTTTTTTTGTTTTTTTTGTGTTGAACAGAAAAAAAAAAAAGAAAAAAAAAAAAGAGGGTGAGACATTAGCAAAGCAAGGTGCAAACAGTCAAAAACAGATGAGAAAATAAAAAGGATGTGATGCAAATTCAGTTCATCTGGAAGCAATTTTGCTAAAAAAGAAAAAAGGGTTAATAAAAAAAACAAAAAAAAACACCTAATGCGTTCTGCAAACTTAAAATAAAAAAATAAAAAAGAAAAAGCGTACTGCGATACAAATGGAGGATGAAAAAAGATTTCCTGGAGGAGCGATGTATCAAAGAAAACCAAAAAAAACAACATCTGAGTGGTGAAAATATGGTGTGTTAGTATCAGGTTGTCCTTTTCCCCTGCTCCTGTCTACTACACACAGATAAGCACTTCCATTTTCTCTCTTTCTCCATCTTTCAGTTGTGTGACCTCAGTTCTTCGCCCGGAGCCAAAAGCTATCGTTTAACACGGCTAAAGATGTGCCCCTAAACCCTCCCGCACTCCCTCCAAATCCAATACTTCACATTGCTAGCTGGGATATTGGTACATCTGGTTAAACTGCAGGGGGGAGGACATGCAGCAACCCATCACACTTTGGCTTTGCTGAGTTCAACTGTGGGTCATCCGCCAGTTACAACAGGATCGTGTTTAGAAGAGAAATTACAGGAGGGGAGGCTTTAAAAGCTGAAATAATGACCGGGCCCGGAAAGGAATCATAAAAAAATAAAATGTCCTATGACCTCCTAATGATGTTCCAGTTCTTGGAGGAAATAAAACAGCAAATTAAGCAAGGAGGCGTAGCTACTGTGAGTGTAGCCACTGCAAAAATATAAAATAAAATAATAAAGTTTTGGGGTGCCTGAGGGGTGTCGATGCAGTCACTGGGGTGATTTAACAGAGTTCTTATTAGGGTCTATGACGCCTGAGCAGGCAGATAAGAATTACAACCCTTGTCTTATTAAAATAACGGAGGAAAAAAATTACAATATGGCTTAAAAACACACACACGCACGCACAAACACACCAAACACAAAGACGTCACCGCTCTACTCTCCATGACCCATGCTTCCCATCGCAGCTGGGGACTGCGTTTAGCAGAAACGCTGCTTGAACGCAGTAATATTTTCTCACGTGTGACACCAATGAAAGATTATTCTGTCCGTCTTCATTCAACTCACTTTCTGGGTCCTGACCGCTCCCCGACACCATGCCTCGCTTTCTACTTGCACGACTTTTACCAAATTACTTCACGATCCTCCTCACTGGTGAAACCACTTGCAACTAAAATGTGTTATATACCACAAAAAAGTGCTGCACCATGAAATAAAAAATCTATAGCTAACATATCCAGTTTTCATATATCTGTGTTATATAGTAACTTTGTGTACTCTGAAGGTTAGAATATAATTTGAAGAAAAAAAAAAAAAAAAATCAGGCATCACTACAGAAGACAGCCAAATAAATTCAGTTGCTGCAAAAAAAATAAAACAGGAAAAAAAGAGAAATCATGCATAACATCTGTATTCTCTGTAAAAGCTTAGAAATGAGTACAAAACAGTCAACTAATACCAAATTTGTGTTCAGTAAAAATGAGATGACAAACTAGAAATAGAGATGCTTGCTTAAGATGAGATTGTTTTTTCCTCCCATTCTCCCATTAATTTGGCAAAAAAACCAACAAACACTGAGATGAAAAGGACAAGATGGAAAAAAAATGCTACATAAATATTCTCTCTCAGATAACAGTTGTGATAGACTGTCAGCCTCACCGTCTCTACTCTTAAAACTCATCTGTAGTTCAACCACAACAAGCTGAAAAGAAGGTTTTTGTCAGAAGCCTGTGCCTACAGTAGCCTGAAGAGCGTGAGAGATCCTCTCTCACAGTAAATAAATCAACACAAACCCTGTGGCTGTTTTCTTTTTCCCTCTGAGACCAGTTTTCCAGTGTGACTTGAAATTTTATGTGGTCTCGCTGTTCCGTATGCAGAGTCAGGTGACCGGGATATAAAAAAAAAAAAAAAAAAAAGAAGAAGGAGGAGGTAAAAGGGCTGGAAGGTCTTAGAAGGGGAGAAAAAAAAAGTGTTTCTTTTAAACGTGTGCAGTTTTACAACACTCGGGCTGCATTCCAATTATTTGAAGCAAGAAAAAAAACAACGTGGTTTCACGTTCCATTTTTCAACCCGGGAATAATCACAGGAGTAGCCAAAAACTCAGGATCTAAACCGGCCTTCAATGACACTTCCAAGGAGCCCCGTTAAAGCCCTGCACAGGTCAGGTGTGCAGACACCCCCCCTACCAGCTCTAGCCACCCCACATCTGTTGCAGTTTTAATCTGTGGCCTCGCTTGCCCGCCCCAAACCCCTAAGCTTTCTTGTCTTCTTGCAGAAGGAGAAAACGTCTCTTTTTTATTACAAACAGATTTTTGTTAATTCGTTTCCTCTGCCTTTTGCACATAAAACCTTTTGTTAAAAAACAAATAAAATTAAAAACATAAAAGGACATTTAAAACAAAATAAAAACAGACATTATTAAAACAGAAAACGGGGCTTTGCTTGCCCCTCATTCTTCTATGCAGATGATCTCCCCGTCTGCCTCGCCCCCTGCTGCCTGCTCGCTCTCAGGCCTCCGTCTTCTCTTTCTTTTTGTTTTTCTTCAGGAAGGATGGGGTGCGGAACTTCTTCTTCTTCTTGGTGTTGGGCGACTTGGAGGGCGAGCTCTCGGGGGACAGGGCCTCTTCGATTTTCTCCCCGGAGCGCACGGTGATCTCCACGCTCTCGACGCTGGTGGTCAGCTGGCTCACGCGCTTTGACAGCTCCTCGTCCACGTCCCCGTGGTCGTTTTTACCGTTCATCAGTCCTGTGTGGTTCTCTGCGGGAAGGGAAATTAGCCAGACACAAGTTAGAGGTGAAAACATCGGGCACAACATCTGCAAGATGTGATAAATTCTCCCACGACAAAGAAGAGCTCCCTGGATTTAAGTGTTCTTTGGAAGGGATACATGTAGAGTAAATCTATGAGCTGCAAGGCATTCTCTTTTCAAATAAAATATTCTTTGGCTTTTTACATCATGATCATGTTTAGCATTTTGGCATACAAGCTATTATCTGGTAGTTAAACAGAGTTCATTAAAACTGGCTCTTTTCTAGTCGTTTTCCACCAATAGGAATCTTCAGCTTGTGGATGTCCACCAAGAGCAAACTCATAACTATTACTGGTGGAGCATCACTGAGGTGCATGTTCATGTTATCATATTGGAGGAATGACTGATTAAATCAATATATTTTCTCAGACTGAATAGGTCTCATCTCTTATTGTGTCTCATTGTGTCCTCTTGTGCCAAATGCGAGGCTCTGTTGTCGGATGTACTAATCACACAGTGTCCCCGTGCTCTACATATTTCGTAATATCCCTGCGTAAAAACCCCAGTGACCTGATAGCCCAGAGAGTCTGCCCTCCTTTCAACCCAACAAAATGGGAGCTTTGAACAGCACACTGCACACACTGCCTTAATCGGCGTTCACGTAACATGCCGGGAAGCGTCACATCTCCGTTCTCTGTGCTGCAAATGCAGGTTAAGCAATCCAGGGCGCTGGTTTCATATTACGCACCAAACGTGTCCTCTCAGGTTATTTTCATCATTGCATAAAAACCAGATGGTTGGACTAAAAGGCTTGCTGTACACCACGGCTGACCTCATGGTGACAGTGTCAGAAAATATAGGTCCCCTGAGTGAACGCGCCGTTATTGGTTAATTGTTATTGTGTGGTTTTGCGTGTTTGCCCTGGAAGGAAGTGGACAGGAAGCCAATCCCATAGTGCCATTATTTACAACTTGTAGAGAGACCTCTATGATCCTGCCATTTCTTGGCGGCACACCAAATGGCTTCAAATGTCAATCTTGCGTGTTAACAGACGAAATACATTCAAAGGGCGGCAACAGGCAAGAAACCCAGTGATGTGAAACTTCCCATTACCAATCCCTCAGATCTGTGATGTTAACACCAAATGAACATTCACTCTTGATAAGTCTTTATAATGATGCGTGTAAGACTGCGACAAAACCTCAAGTTTAGATAAAAACACTGAATGAGCCAAATAAGAAAATCAATACCGTCTTGTATCTTTCATTAGGAAGTGATGCAGAGCATGACGGCAAAGCTCTCAATTTATTGGCTGATCCATGTTCCTACTCTCATCTATGGCCACAAGCTGTAGGTAGTGACCAAACGAATATTTAACTGTTGGCAAAATGAGCCTTCTTTGAATGTCTGGGCTCTCTATTAGAGATAGGGGTGAGCAGCTCAGAGGAGAGATGCTGCTCCTCTACATCAAAAGGAAAGGCGACTCAGGCATCTGATCAGGAAGCCTTCTAGGCAAGGTGTTTCAGGCATGTTCAACAAGGAGGAGACCTCTGGGCAGGACATGGTAGACAGCTTACCCCCCCAAGACTGTCTGGTGAGAGGGGGGTCTGGGCATCACTACTCACACCGTAGCAGACCCAGATAACTAGCAGAAAATGGAAGTATGAGTTTTCATCAGGAGGGAGTTCGTTTATCTTAGCAATAAAATGAGAGAAAAGTGCTGGGCTGATATAACCAAAAATTGATGCCATTTCTTGAAGCAGCTACTCTCTGGCAACCAATTGCAAAATCACAGAAATCCCTGAATGCTTGATAAGTTTACAAGACTTCAAGTCTTTAAAAATTGCTTCTCCCATTGCTCTAAAAAACAAACAAACCTTTGGACCCTCAATGGCAAAATAATAAGTGTATAAAATATGAATTCATACCTTTCAGGCAACGCTACATTTTCATAACCCAATATAAATTTGAATTGTCCAAAAAGAAAAAAAAAGCCAGAGAGGTATTAAATGTAGTGAAACTGTTGCAGTTTCATTGAATTAGATGACCACGTTTTAACATGAAGGACTAGTTAGTACAGCATGAGCTAGTTCAGGCACTGTATAATAAGCATTTAGTCTATTGCAGTTAAATTTACGCTCTCATGCTCGTCCACAAACACACGTCGGACATTAAAGTTAAAAAGCAAGACAGTGAAGCTCATTCTGAAAAACAAGTCAGTCTGTGAGTGAGTGATACCTTCTTTGGCTGAAGTGCTTTGCGGGGACTGGGTGACAGACAGAGACTGAGAGAGAGTGGAGCCATCGTCAGAGGTTAGCTCGTGCTCGCCATCTGCAGGGAGGGTAGGGACGGGGCCAGGTGGGGGGGGGTTGTGAGGGTTGGATGAGAGGATTGTGGCAGGGTGTAGGGGGTGGAAGTAGAGGGAAGACAGCAGGGGTGAGTGGGACGAGAGGTTGGAGGGAATTGGGATGAAGGGTCCGGAGGGAGTGGGGTGGGGAGGTTGACAGATTAGTGGTAACACACACACACACACACATGTTAGAATCAGGCCATGCACAGCTGTTTTCCAACAAAATTTACAAAATCCTTGTCTGCTGATCACCCAGAGTGCCATCAATCCACCCGCCCCCGGGCGTGGGTGGCTGAGCACACACTGTAACATTTTGCTAACACTTAAACCCCCGCGGAGCATCTCTTGATGGCGACTTGTGGTCCACTGATAGCTAGACCACCAAAGTTTAAACTTTCTTTATGAGATGTCTCATTTACATAGACTGAAGTATTTGTATTGTGAGACATTTAAATACAGAAAAATGAAGTTTAGGGCAAGAAAGAAAAGAAATCTCAGTCACTCTTATATAGAATAAGGAGATTATGAGAAAAGTTTATATTCTTCTGTAAAATAGATAAAGAAACAAGCATAATGAGTCCCCTTTGAACTATAGATTCTTAAACAATTCTATCCAACCATAAGAAGCACATAGTGTTGCCACGCAGCTTAGCTACAGTAGCTTAATTTCATTTTAAACACCAATTAGTCTGAATGAAAGACGCTCCCTGATCACTTTAACACATTCATTAGTACGTTCGGGCTTACACATCGAGCTGGCAGTCGTCACAATCATTCACAACTCCTACAAGCACAGCGTATAGGACGTGTTTGCATAACAGCCTGATCTGTGCAGTGATAGTACTCGGTGTTCTGTATATACACAGATAAAAATGCGTGCGAGCCTCAGATGAGATGATCTCAGTGTGTGTAGTCATTTGCATGAGCTTTGTCACCTCATGTGAAACATATAGCACATAATACGCATCTGTACATGTGTTCATACATATCTATGTCGCATATAGCTCAATTTGATCAGTTCTCTTATATAATGCGCATTATAATCAATCTGTTTTTTAAAAAAATGATCAATATATACAATCTGCATGTCACAACTAATCGCAGGCTAAGACTATAAACGTGTGTGTGCGTGTCCGGGCCGAGCATGTATCAGGCCTTTCCAGACGGTCTCCAGCTTGTCTCCAGATTGGTCACCGGGGATTCATGGGGCTATGGGGGCAAAAGTGTCATAGCAACGGGCTCTGATCATGTGGCGGGTGTGAAGACCTGCTGTCTGTTCGCTCTGCCATCTTAGTCACACTGGCCCCTTACACACATACAGTCGCACCATGTTTCATATGCACAGAAGAACATTTGCAGCCATCCATACACATGGCCTTACCCAAATATACACAACACACAAATACACATTCACTGTGCTCCAGTGTGACAGAAGGCCCCCCAGATATTGATTCGCTATTGATTTTTCCTCTGCCTCTCTGAAAGACAATAGGACAGAAGGCTAATATGATTAGCCTTGACTTGTGTGTGTATGTGTGTGTGTGTTGACAAGGTTAACACAGTTTAAAGCAGCCATAGACCTTGCATATAGATATAGACGTATAGGTATATAGATGTGCGTCTGTGCACGCGTTGACCGAGATCATTTAAATCTTTTGTTACCACCAGACTGCTGAGAGGGCACAAAGGAAAGTTGAGCTGTTTACTAATCAGTCTCCAAGGGGACGGCTTTGTAATTGCAGAACCAATTTTAAGAAATCCTGATTAGTTTTAAGCTCAAGTTGAAATCTGCTCCAGCTGTTTATTTTAAGGACTTTTGAATATCTGGCTCTTAGTGTCTTATTTTTTCCACAGTTTAAAGTCTTTTAAAACGTGCAAAAAACCCCTTTAATGACTCAAACACCAACAGTAGTTTTAGGTGCCGATGAGCTTTTAATCCAGGGGCAACACAAACTGATTTCACTCAGCTCTCAAGAGATACAAGCGGAACCGGATAAATTCATATTCAAGATTTCTTGAGGTCTTAGTTTTTCCTTCAGGGTTATTAAAGATGATTGTGATGGTTAATAGACCAGCATTTAAAAAAAAAAGAAGATTTACTTTAAATAAATGTATCAAAACCATGATATAAGTGATAAATTAAAAGAAAAGGACCAGTTTCCTGCACCGGAGTAAACTGGCGCCAGCACCCAGCTAAACAGATGACAATTCCTCTTGCTGGCTCAAACTAATCTTCCGATGTGTGCGCTCAAATTGTATCTTGCATATTGATTATTGATCCAATTTGTTTCAAGCCCCGGCTCAATATTTTGTTGTTTAATGAACCTTCACCGATTGTTAAGGTCGTCTGCAGCTGGCAGCAGGAAAGAAAACTCTGGGTTCGAGTTCATCTCGCCATGTGTGCGTGAGCTTTGATGGTTGTTAACAGAAGTGTATTCGTGAGCGTATGTGCCGTACCGCTGAGGCCCAGTTGCCTTCTCTCCACGTTCTTGCGATACTCTTCCAGCGCCTTCTCTGACAACTCACTGAAAGGGTTGGGAGGCAGGGGAGCCATCTGCTCTTCCTCTGTGGGCACGTATGGCTGAGGAGGAGACAGGCAGAGGGGTGAGGATGGGACACACGTACACAGAGAGAAATAATCAGGAGGCACTGGCACACACTCTGAAATTTAAAAAACAAACCATGTACTAACACACAAGCACACACCAAAGGTACACGTACCAAAAAAAAAAACACACACAGAGAAAACAACACCGCCTCTTTAGTCATGACTGCACTGACCGACTTAAAAGAAAAATACGTTTTTTAAAAATGGCACAAACACCCACTGTGTCTGAGGATGACAATCATTCATTAGAGGATGACTAAGGCAGCTCGTGTAAAGATAAAACCACATCACAGAGTCCACATCTAATCAACTCCACGCAAGATGTGTTTATTACTCACACTCGTGCACACACACACACACACAAAACGCACTTGAGCTTAAATCTCTGCTAAGATTTCTGCCTAAAAATGTCAGAAAGAGACTCGTGCTCCAACAAATCATCACACTTCAACAACTCTCACGAATAAGTGCAGTTTCGTTTAAAGCAAACAAGTAATACATTGAAAACAGTTGTCAATTTTAAAGCAAAACTCTACTACAACACATGCAGTGGTTTTTGATCAGAACGAGTGATGAAGTGTTAAAAATCATAAAACGAACAAAAAAAAAAATGTAAAAAACTAAAAACAACCACAGACAGGAAAACGTACGTTGGTATTTACCAGAACGTTTATCTGCACCAGATCCTTCAAGACAAAACATTAAACCACGAAACCATCAGCACCACAACTTCTAGTTGAGACATTTTTACTTCACTTGTTCCAATAATTTATACATTCAATTCTATCCTTGCTAGTAAAGTGCAACTGTCAAGAGCTTCATTTCATCCGTTATAAATGTGTTTACTTGTCTCCCCCTAGTGTTCAAGAGATGTCGTTAAAGTGGCTTAAACTGGCAGTCTGAACAATTTTGGATAAAGTTTTTTTTTTTTTTAAATAGTTTTGGAGAGTCCTTCTCCTCTAATGTTCTCACTAAGTCATTAAGATTAGGAAACTCCTGTAATATGCAGAAAAGCTCTATCATAATCACAAAAAAGCAAATCTCTAATCAGCCAGAACAACTGAGCCCACCTTTAAGTTTCTCCTTAAAGTTAGATAAAGATGTCCTGCAAACCTCAACTGTTTTTATAGCATTATCAACACCAGCTATTCTGGATTTTCTTCAAATATCTGTAAGGACTTTCTGTTAATTGAAGAATATCCTGCAAAAACTGTTTGTCATGTACCCCGGTGTGCCCTTTAAGAGGAATTAAAAGTATTTATTAAGTCACAGCATCTAACTGCTTAAACTTTATGCATTTTTTGTGAAAACTTGTCTTGTTAAAACAGATATTAGATGTTACACATCTACAGTTTACCATCAGATACTTTCTTCTTTGAAGATCTGCTCTCTAAAAACGACGGTTTCCACAGAACACGAGGTTTAGAGGCGAGAAAGATGACATTCTCACCTTTCGCGGTTCATCGACAGGGATGCCTGCGAGGTGCTGAGACCGCGGCCCTGACGACATCACATCAAGCCGGTTCTGCTCTCTGATCTGTAACGGGACGAAACACACGGTGACTTCCTCTAATAACCCAAACAAGTGAACACAAACATTCTGTCAGGAATCAGGATAACATGCCTGATACAGTCAGATGTTTCAGTGCCTAGATTTGTACTGATTTTGTAAGATGCTCTAAAACCAGTGCAGTGACAGCTCAAATGTAGCCGTCTTCTCAAGCACTGACTACAAATTATACAGTAGTATGATTACATGGGGACCAGACTATACACATAAAAGTATGGTAGAAAGAGACACTCTTGACAACAACTGTACAGTAGGCGACTCTTTAAAATTATTTTTATAACTAATCTACTTTGATACTATAAATGTTAAATTTAGGGGACTGGCTGCTGTAAATCCTCACCTCTGTTAATCTGAATGATTGATTTTGACTGTTTTCTGCTTTGTTTGGTGATTTCTAGATAATCTTTATTGAAACATTATTACCTTTATAGTAAAATTAATACTATTACTATTTAGCATGGCTCTAGTTAGCTACCCCCTGGTGTACATATGCTCATATTTGGCTTTCAGAATAGTAAAAAAAAAAAACCTGATACTTCAAAGTAGCATTGTGGCTGTTATGCCCTCCTTAAACATATGAGGCTATGATAGAGATTTATTTAATCCTTAATTAAGTGTTAATATCCTCACATTTTTAAACAGAACCCAGCACAAAATAGTAAAGTGTATCCTACAATTTCTGTCACTCCATCTTTAGATTTTCGTCACGTTGAAAGCATCAAGCGTCTGCTAAAAATGGTAGTTTTACTTACTTTGTTCCTCTTCGCCAGCACTTCAGTGGGATCTGTGTTGAGAGGGACAAACTGATTGGGATCCTCGATACGAATTGGGGTTCCTGGGTCATCTGCCTTCATCCACTGTTAACAGAAGACCGGTGAAAACTTTGTTTCAAAAAATATAATAATAATATTAATAATATTAAAAATAATAATAATGATGATGCAGCTGAACCCCTGTAGTTCACAATTTAGCCACTAGATGGTAATCTAGTACCATTTGTTCTTAGCACTGGGACGCAAGTCCAGCCAAAACACAGCAGTCCACAGTAGCTGTGGGTATGTACACACTAACTTTCCCAGCCACACTGCTCACCGTGGTTGTCCGGCTGTTGTAGCGCTCCTCTCCACCTTCTACGCTGACCTTGGTGTAGCTGTTGGGTGAATTGAGCCAGCGTGTCTTCTCCCTCTGCTGCCGCTGCTGGAGAAACTTGAAGGGCAGCCGTGTTGCACCACTATCCGCGTCCTCTTCGAACATGAACGCTGTAACCGTGGCGGGGATCTCGACGTCGCTCTTGTGCCTCGGCTTCTCCCGGATGATGGGGTGCCGGTATGCATAGCCTGTCCTGTAGCCCTAAAAGGCGTCGCAGAGGATCACATGTAGGGTTTGCTTTCTTTTATCTGGTTTGTGCTGATCCATACATTTACATAGGCCTTGTCATATGTCACAGTAGTCTCCCCACATCATCCATGACTACTGCTCCAGAATAAGTTTTGTATCATGACATTGATTTCACAGCTGACATTATAAATAATAAACATTCAATCGGTTTCGTTTTTAGCACATGAACGACAGAAATGAGCATTGATTCCTGTAATGCTGGTTGGCCTGCCAGTTTCATAGTTAGTCACATGGAAAAGAAAGACTGTGCTTTGACTGCAGGCTTTCTGGCAACACAGAGGACAGCGTTAGATAGTCATTTCCTGTCTGACCCCCTTTTTCTCTCACCCTTTTCCCTCCATCCCCTTCCTTTCCTCTCTCTCCACTTTATTCCCAACGCCCGTCCCTCAGTGCACTCTTTTAGTCCAGTTGGTTTTCAGACAGTTTTCCACACCAGGCTTGACAGCGAGGTTCCGTTCTTTTGTCTTCCCCCCTTTCCTTTTCATCTCAGCCCCCACATCTCAGCCGATACTGACATTTCAACCTAACTGAGCTGGCGTGATCTCCTCCTGCAAAATTCTGCTTTATATTCAGACATTTCTAAATATTCACAGCTGGCAGCTTGCCGAGACACAGTATAACTACTCGATTTTTCTCCCACTTTCTCCCTTTTTGTTACAAATGTGCCTTGGTCCTGTCCTGAATCCAAGAATTTATCTGACACAAATGCCGTTTATGAAGTGTGTAAAGGGGGAGAGTAGGAAAGCAAGGGAGACAAAGATGAACTATTCAAAGTTGCAACAGGCTGGGAGGCAGTGATTCATTGAGAAAGCAGAGGGGGGAAAGAGGAGAGAAAGGTGGGAGGGAAGCATGGAGAAAGGTGAAAAGTGTCGGGTGAAGCAGGCGAGCGAAGCACACGCGGATAGAGATGCAAGGAGGACAAAAGGCATGAGAATCTGAGACAAGGAAGAACATTCAGCAAATCTCCAGGGACTGAACCACTCCAGATTTTTAAAGTTATCACTGTACTAACAAAACGCTCCTCCATTTCCTTTAAGTTTTAAGAAAGAATTTGCTGTTCTTTCCAAAGATGAGCTTTGGAATCAGCACTGCTTCTTTGCATTGCAAGTTAAAAGTTTAGTTTACTGTAGGTGGCGCCCTTTTCCAGTATTGTTCACCCACTCTAGCCACCACTGCTAGTAGCTGAATAGTTCTCCATCATTAGTGCAACAGAAATAAGACTGAAACAAACAGAAAGGTGAACTAAAACGAACCTCGGACCAAATGTGTGCCATAGTGGATAAACACCAGATGTGACACTTTTATGAAATCCATATAGGCCTGTTATTATCGTTTTATAAATCAGTAACTGAGTGCTTTCACACTGGATACCCTTGGATACCAGGGATTTGTGTCTACTCCTGGTTTTGAAGCAGGGATCTTACTCATGTTAAGTGAAACCAAGATGGGTTACTTTGCTAAAACAAATGATTACACTCCTGATTTCACAAAGCCACAACAAGTAAAGATTAAAATGATTTATTTTATGATTATTATGCATTTTTTGTGTCATATATATCTTTTTAAAAACTATGCAAGTGTTTATTTAGGTCTTTTTTGTGTCTTTTTCGGGGGGGTTTGTGTGGTAAACTGACAAAACTTTCACTTTTGATGTTTAGGTTTTTCTTTATACACTTACCAGATTATCCAGCATCCTCATCAGAGACTCAAACTCCAGCTCACCGATTTTCCACTTGTATTGCCCAGCCATGTTGATAGCACCCGCCGAGGCGACGGCGAACACTCGTGATTTGTACTTCTCCTGGTCCAGCACTATAAGGTTGTCCACACCTCCAGCACAAGAAATGGCATTAACCTGAGGACAGAGGGAGACAGACGTGAGCTTCTACTGGTGGCTGGTGGCTTACAAATTTCAAGCAGGAACAAATTTCCTGACCATTTCCCCTGCAGACTAAAAGTGTCATTTAGCAAAACCAAAATGAGAGACCCCTCCGGCTACCACGGCATTGAATTTACAGTAGATGACATGCAAACATGCCTGAGGGGATTTATTTCGAGAAATTAAGCTGGGCTGGGCTTTGCGGGATGGATTAATGTTTTCTTTTGCTTGACCAGGGAGAGTCAATCAGGAGATTTGGTTTGCTGTTACAGTGGAGCGGGGGGGCACAGCCGTTCATCTCTAAAATCCACCATATTTACCAATGAACAGGAAGACACGCAAGAACAAAAAGCAAGACAACAAAAATCCAACACAGCTGTATTTTCACTTATTGCTACAACTGCCCCTTCAAAATGGAAACAGCTGCACAGCAGTCAGCTGCACCAACCAAACTACCACCGAGCAAAGTGGGCAGTGTTTATCAGCTTGTTACAGTTTGATATTCTGGGTAATTCACGTGGATGTTATTTTGACATGCAGCATCCACCTAATCGATGCTGCAAACCAAGCACACACCCCAAAGTCAATGACACTCACTAATAACCTCCACCAGCAGTGCACTACAACACACACCAGTAAAAGATCCCCCATCCTGCAGCTCACAGGACCCAAAGAATCCACTGCTGGACACCAAAGGTCACTTAAAGAGGACGTCTGGCAATATGTTAACAGGTGCACAACAAACAGATCCAAACCCTTATAAATACACGGCAGTGAGAAGTGTCTGAATGACCACTGAGATTTTAAAAAAAATATTATTTCTTATGTTCCATTTCAAATGCTGCTGCAGCTAAGTTGAGCTAATCCACAATCCCTGACAAACACGCCACCGCTCTCCGGGCTTATCGCCATCTTATCGGAAAAGATTACGCAGACCGACACATTACATGAAATATGAATATACACTTAAGATAACCTCAAAATGAACATGCAGTCAATAAACATTCATTCATGCTGCCCAATTCTCACCCCTTGAAATCTTATGTATCACCTTCTGTTCAGCTTTACTAATTAAAAACAAAACACGGAGAACACCATCCCTCTCTTAATGCTGCTTTGGACCAGCGTCAACAATAACACATCAGATTGTTACTCCCTTCATCAGACTCCTAATAGCCTTATTATAAAGCTGTGTTTGGCCAACATTTTCCACATGGGGAGAGATTATGAGTTAGAGTGTTCTTAAAATAGAGAGGGAGAAATGTGAAAGCAGCTGTGGAGATTAGATTTAGCAGGAAAGCTACCGCCCTCCTGGACTAATGCGTGTGTTTGGAAGCCGAAGAGAGAGAGTGTGAGCGTGTGTGTGTCGGGCAGGAATGTACTGGGTACCAGCAGCACTTGGCTCTGCAATGTGTACCTGGATTTCACAGGCATACTGAGCGCTGTAGATGTAGTGAAAGGCCTCTTCGATGGTCTCCCCGAGAGCAACCACGCCGTGATTCCTCAGCACCAAAACCTGGAACGCGCGCACACAGAAAAAGTCATTGTAAGCATCAGAAGAGTCCGATCACAGAGAGGCACTACAGGTCCATTTCTCTAACTTGTATTAAATGAGACCGTTAGATGGTGTTTATTTTATTTATTCAGCAAGTAACCAAGTCAATGGAAGTACTGATGGAGAATGTGCGTGCTCATGCTGATTTGTATCCAGAAGCTCTGTTTTCTCTAGTTCTTAAAAAATGTTGGCCCAGGGGACAGAAGAGCTTCAAGAGTTTGAAGGTTGAAATCATTATGATTTTATGTATCAACAAGGGCTTGGCCACTGGGCGATGACATCAGAACCTGGCAACAGACAAGCAGCGGAAACTCCCTTGAATTCCCAGAATGTTTTCCAGTTTAAATTCCATCAACCGGTGATTTTTTTTTTTTAAAGACGCCAGAAAGCAAGACATACACATGGAAGGCAAATAGAAAACCCAAAATAAGGGTGCCTGACTGCCCTACTATTGCTCCTTGTTCGAAACAAACACCCTGATATTTCAATCGTTTTCCTGTCTTAGGTTAAAGGGATGAGATATAAAACAGGCTTGATTATTTTGAACTACCCCAACATATGGGCCTAAATTGCTCCAAGCCTCTAAAAGTTTTGGTCTGTTGTCTGAAAGACTGCAGAAACGCGACTCAAAGACACATTTTGGCTCTTTTTTATCAGCAAACCTCTGGGACAAACACACTCCAGTCTGAAGCTAGAGATACTGGTAGAAAGCTTTTTAATACATCTGCACAAAGCTAAGTTTATTGTTTGCACTTTTTATTTACCGTGTGGATTTTTCAAATCGCAAACTAATTATGCAAAAGTGATGGAAGATGTTGCACAATGCTTCGCCTACCTTTGTTGTTGGCCCCAGGGCCTTCTGTAGCTCTATGCGCTCATCCTGCTCATCCAGACTGCCCTGGTAGTTGTAGTAGGCAATATCACCCAAGATCAGCGCCTCTTGGGAAATGGGCAGGATACCACACTTCATAGATGACACCTGAAGCAGGAGAAAGGTGAGAAGGAGACAGCAGAGGCATGCCAGCAATGAGAAACGTTGACAGGTGGATTACAGCTGTATAGCTGCTTTATTCTTTAACGTTCGGCAGCAGATGTTTCTCGTTGGTGCTCCTGTGGGAAGAAAGCTTGGAAACTCTGGCGCTCTCTGATGACTGCGGTGATGAGCCCCTTTGTTGTTGAAAACTTTCATTTCTGCGCTGCAGAGTCGTTTAAAGATGTTCCCTTTTGGTCGAGGTGTCAAGGTAATTTTACGGGATATCACTTCACTATTCAAATTCATCCAGCCTGAAATACCTCTTCTCAAATTGAGATCGCACCCCTCTTAAAAAAAAACAACAAAAGCATCAAGCACCAATCTGCAGGGAAAATCATCACAGAGAGGTTTGCAAGCTTGGGTATAATATAACGTGTGGTAATGTGAACTTACAGCTGCTGTGGCAGGAGTGTGCACGTGTATGATGCAGCGGATGTCTGGACGCATGGAGTAGATGGCAGCATGGGGGCTGAAACCTGCGGGGTCGATCCTCAGGTTGGTGGAGCCCTGGTCGATCACATCCCCGATGATGTTGACTTTCACCTGGGGAGGCAAGGATAGGGTGCTTTGAGGATATCTGCTTTGAGTGGTTAAAAATACTTTAACCCAAGCAATAAGCGGCAAGAGTACGGCAGGGCTTTAGAGGCCACAGAGAGACGATGTACTGTAAACCATCACAACATCAGTGAAATCAAATATGCCGATACAAAACTAGCTCACAAGCAGGTTATAACCCTGCAGTGTTAACCAAGCAGGCCTAAAGATAAGCCAACATCTGTGAGTATGATGGCACAGAAATCACATTACAACAATTCCTCCTTTCTGTATGCTCATCTCTGGGAAATGAATTTACGCTTTACCAGGAAACATAATAGTGGAACGGAGTGGACTCACTGCGACAACTTCATTACCAACCAGTTAACAGTTATTCGATTACATGACCGGAGAGAAAAGCATTCGAGGCAAAAGATATATAGAGGACCTGGAGGGACAGAGAGTACAATACCAGAGGGTGGGGGGGGGAGACTGCTAACTGGACACAGAGACTGTGATATAAAACCTGGAGGAAGAGCAAGTGCAGATGTCAGTCCTCACAGTAAAACCTAATAACAAACCGAAAACACAACTTTGCCTGCAGACCTTGTACACAATTGGCATCACTAAGCACATGTTGTTCTGTGATACAAGCCAGAAGCAGCCTGCTCACATTTCTGACCTCCCCCCAACAAGGTCCAAGAGTGTGTTATCACACCAGGAACACGGCATCCATCATCCAGTCAGAGGCTCATGAAACAAACCCAGTTCAAACTGAGCCAGCTCAAAAGTGTGGGGTTTGGTACTTAAAGTGTGCGTGGAGCAGGAAACTATTTCCTTCCAAAATTAAAGGAATTACATTTTTTTTTAAACCCCTTCAAACTCTGTTTTTAATCTCTCATCATCATATTACTCAAACTAAAAACCCACCCTTCCCATCCAGGGCTTCTTCAGAGCTGTGCCTCTACTCATTAGCTTTGGTAGCAACAGATCATTTTTATTTTAGGATTAAAAAAAACGATTAAATAACAAAAACTGCACAAAGTTACTGGAGGTGTGGCTTTACGTTTTCACCTCGCAGAAAACTTGACACTCGAGTATTGATCACTGAGAATATAACAGATTTTTTAAAAGTAAGACCAAAGTGTTACCATGGGAAACTTGCCACTACTCAAACTTCTGAATAAATAATCTTGTTTTACTTGGTTTGAGGTTTAGAACTACTTGGATAGTTTAGAGTGTATTTCCTTTTACATCCTTTTTAGATCTGGTCACTACTTATTCATTCTTTAGTAAAACAAGGAAATTCAGTAAGACATTTAACCTCAGAAAACTGCATACGACTAAAAATATTGTTGAAAATTAACCATATTGTGTTGGCACGGGGCCAATACAGCGCCTGAGCAATTACCAGCTCGACTGGTTAATACGTCTCTTTCCTGAAGAGAGTCCACAGATTGTTTCCGATCTTTGGGTCAAATGAGGCTGAAAATCCTCAGACGCATTCTGAGTGGTGTTCAGACTTTTAAAAGGCATATGGGTGTTTGGGCAGATGAATTTATTGATCTTTCCAGCAGAGGAAAGTGAATGGCACTAGCTAAGCGTGAGTAACTAACCCCATCTATGTCTCCACACACACCCTCTCCTGACAGCCATCGCCAGCTGCCGTGTGATCGAACACCGTTATGTCACATGGCCGGTCCATTATTGGATCACCCCCGTCACGCCCTTCAAACTTCAGCCCTTCAAACTGAGAGGCCCTTATGGCCGGTGTAGCACCTCTAATCTTAAAAATAAGTCAAAGGACGTGTCAAAGAATCTGAAATGTGATGCAGCTGCATGGTAGGGAGGGGATTAGAAGCTGATAAGGAGAGTGGGGCCAGAAGCAGGCAGTTGAAACTGAAAAGGAAATCTCTGAATTCCTTCAAGGGTTCAAGGTTGCCTGATTCAAGCAAATCAAAGAGTAAAGAGAGTAATTCTCTCACCTTTTGACTCTGATGTGTAGTCAACAGTAATTTCAATGAGACGTTTAGAGACATGAAATGGGAAACTTTGCTGTGACTTCAGACTAAACTAAAACAACCAGATGGACCAAACATTTTTTCTTTTCAACTCCAAACTCAAACTGACCTCAGAATCACCTCAAAGCTCAAAGAGTAATACTGACAGGGAGAGACAGATGCAAACTAACCAAAGCCAACTGCACCACAGCTGACCCCAACACAACCTTTGACACGCTTTATTCTGGATGACTTCCTCCTAATCAATTTCTTTGCCTTCCTAAACTCTTGAACTTAATCATGTAACTATTGAGCTTACTAAGACAAAGCCGGCTGAAAGTGGAGAGAGAGATTAAACAGATGGATATAAACAAAGCAGTGCCGGACTGGCATCAAAACACAAACACTAAGGAAAATCTGGAAGTGCCAGGTTACACGAATTTGTTCTGTCTTTCAGCGTATGCAGTGCTGTGGTCAACTTTACTGCCCGACCACAGGATAGATGGATGTGGTCCAGACAAACAAACTAAAAATACTCACAGCTGAATAAGTTTGCCATATACTGCTTTTAAGGATTCTGTGGCTTCTAGTAAAAGTTATGGCGAGTAAGTTTGATTGAGTTTGCAATCATGGACATGATTAATTACACTTTACAATGATTTGAGCCAGAGACAGAAGGTAAGAGCATCATCTGTTACTTTGTGCAGCAACAGAGCTAAAACTAAGACTAACACAACATCGTCAAAGGTAAAAGTTTTCTTTTTGCTAATAGAATAACAGAAAAGTATACTTGGGAGGATGAACAACCAAGAAGCCTGATTGGACTTATCAGCCTTGAGCTGACATTTGACAATGAATATATGGCATGAACCAATGAACCAAAATAAATATGAACCAAATACTGCTGGCATTACTGCTATTGGTAAATAAATAAATATCAAGTTTTATCCTGATTATTTTGTTGCAGTACTGAACTATTATTCCTGTGTGCTAATCAAAGACATGTCAACGTCCATGTCTAACTAGTTAACTATTGCAGCAACAGGTTTTTGAGGCAGCAAAGTGACCCTAGTGAAGAGAGTCTGTTCTGGCGGTTTCAGGTAGGTACGCTTGTTTTGTGTCTGTACTGCAAAGAGAATTTATTGTCTGAAATTATTATCAGCAATTTGGCACTTTATTCCCTTTTAAGGAAATAAAGCAGATTTTCAGGGCAAGTTTACAGTGTCTGTGCTGAACTAAAGCAAAAAAGACAAACAAACCCCTATTAAATTAAAAACAGACTCAAAAATGACTGAGTTCAACAAGGACATGTTCAAACCACTCAGCCACCCACGAGGCTTTACTATCAGGAAGTAGCAAGTTAGGCGCAGAGATTTATATCACTACCTTCTAACCACTCTCGCAGGTCAAAAAGTGAAATCAGCTTGTCAGCGAGGTGCTGACAGATTTCACAATCTGGCTGCAGAAGCACACCTGCAGCATATTATCCCAGATTTTATCTGTTTGCGCAGGTGTCGAAGACAAAGTAGGAGAGTACAACAAAGCTACTACACAGAGGCGAACCCTGGTTCTGTTTTTTAACTTGTCAAATGGAAAAAGCAGAAATAAACAGAAGTCCGACAATCAGGATGAGACATGTTGATGAGACAAGAGCAACAGAAAGAGAAAAACTAAACGGAGACAAACCGAAATAGAAAGTGAATTAGAGGGAGCTGAAACGTACAGAGGGAGGTAACGAGGTTGCCAACGAACTCTTATACACATTATTGCACATTTAGCGCCGTGGTATGTCGAGCACAGCTGAAACTGGGGAGACGGACAGACTGAACCACCTACAGTGTTTGCTGACAGAGAAACAGAGCGGCTAATGTCAACATGAGAGGTGCCGGTGACACAGAACATGATAAACGCGTACACAAAAGGGACAGTCAGAGAGAGACGGTGGGATCTCGTGCACAGAGCACTGGAAAAAGGTTCATCTGGTACTTTCCTCTTCAGAGCGAAGGAAGTAAATGGCTGATTAAGCCAAATGGGAGAGCGCTAGTTGAGTAAAGCAAATGCAAAGCCATTACAGTCCAATGTAATGCTGGCACAGTTACACAGAGAAGGATGCTGATGCAGACATTTACGATGCATTTCATTTGTAGCAAGAAATTAAATTAACAGGCAGAGCTTGTAGTTAAAAAACCGTGTTTGGATGAGACCACAGTGGCTCGTGTTTCTTACCAGGTTTGAAGCAGATGCCTCAGCAAATGAGAGTCCTCTGGGGATGATCAGGATGTGGTCTTGCTCTTTACTGACTCGGCCCTAGGAGAAAACACAGATTGAGGACTAAAGGTTACTTTTAGTTAGAAAAGAAAATTAACCAGACCCAAGTCGGGACTGCATTAGAATAACAAAGAATTAAGGAAGAGTTGAAATATGGACTAAACAGTCAGATCTGCAATTAAAACATGCTTGCCAGCAACCTCCCTGTACATTTCTGTGGGCAACAGGGAGTCAGATACAGCATGAAATGGAGGAACTTGGGTGGAAGTGGACTGCAGAGTGGTTTGCCGTGGTCCAACCACTATGGGGAGTCTAAAGTGGCTCAGATAGCGTGCCTTATATGAGACAGCCATATGTATGTGTAGAAGTGTGTCAGCTGAGCCATCAGCTGATGTGGTCACAAAGAAATTATTGCAAAATGCATTGAGGCATTGTAAAGTCATCACTACTAGACTTTCTTGGGGATTTTGCACGGCACTTAAATAAAAAAAGAATAGTGCAATATATAGCATTTAAACAAAGGCATAGAATAGTAGAGGACATTCTGAAAGTCTGTGTGGACAGTTTTTGAACTGTAGTATCAGTTTTCTGTAGAAAGTCAAAGGTTACAATAATCTTTGTTGTGAATGACAAGCCAGGTATTTAAGTTGTGATATTAAAGATGTTTTTGTAACCTCGAGACAATTACTGTTAGACTGAAACACCCTTGAAATGACAATAAAAGCTTTCTCTGCAAACAGACCCTCAATGTTTGTACCCGGAAATAATACAGGACACGGTAAAATTTATGAACTAGATAGATAATGGGGAATTTCCAGTACATCTGTGCTTTTGGAGTAGTGTCTTACTGTGATGTAGGAGTTGGCGAAGTGTGCCCAGCTGAACAGGTCCACCAGTCTGTAGAGGCTGGCCAGTTTACAACGTGTCAGCTTCTCGCCTTTCACCATCGTGGTGGATTCCACTCCGTACAAGTCGTTGATGGGAGTGACCATCCCCAGGCCTAAATGATCATGGACGATGAGAGGAGGGGGAGCAGGAATGTTAAAAATGCAGATTGCGGATCAGGTGGTATTAATATCAGTGACAACCATTCAGGACCAGACATCTGTAGCTAGCATCTGGATTTGTATCTAATGGTGTATCTGACTCTACATGAGAATCCTAATTTACACAGTGGGGTGATGCGAGCAGCACTCAGTCCTTTAATGCCTTTTGTTGTCTTTAATTACAATATTTAAAAAATTAGCTAAACCAAAAGGCTACACAGTTTCTGACGTCTAATTTAGCATTAGTTGTGCATTCCAAGGCTTTGACTTCACATATGGGACTCTTGGACAGAAATTGCAAAGGATCAAAACCCAGGGAAATATGCACGGCTTTTCCGGAGTCTGGGGCTGGGTTGTCTAAGAGTATTTATGCCCTTGAGCACACAAAGCTCATGTTTGTGTATAGATCTCCTATATTCCAATATTGAGGCTGTGCTTTTGTTTTTCAGTGCAGTTCAAAGTTATTGCACCCAGGGCGCGGATGGCATGTGTTAGTGTCTGGTTGTCTGGGGTAACGAGCACAGTGACCACTTACTGAGGGGGGAAGTGTTGAAACCGGCAACTGTGCTGGCCATAAAGAAGTCTGCGATCTGCCTGAGGGCCAGCAGGCCAGTGGGGTTGTTCCCCTTCCGTTGCTGCTCTTGGATCAGGCTCTCCAATTCCTCCTTGAAAGCCTGAGAAAGATAGGGAAAGACAAAAGGTTGAGAGGGGACATGAGCCAACTGAGAACGTAATGTGTCAAGAACTACAAATCTAACCCTCAAATTAAGAAAAGCAACAGTAAAAAGGATTTACCGGTTAATCTTCACATTGTGACTTTTAGCACATTATCAAGCCTCGTTTAAAAACAAACAAACAAACAAACATATTTTTATTCCATATATAAAAACGAGCCTTTACGTTCAACACAGGGGGCTTTAATCAGGTGTTATGCAGCTTAACTGGGAGACACACACACCCACACACACACACAAAACGAAAACATTTCACTGAAACTGAGATTAATACACCTGGATGTCCAAAGTGAGGCAATATCACAAAGAAAACTAAGACTGTGGCGAGACAGATGAAGATAGGAGGGAGGAGAAAGGAGTAGATTAGTAGTGACAGAGAGATAAAAGAGCAAAAAGATGTGGGAACATTCAAAGAGACAGGAAGAATGCGAGTAAAGACAGGAAGATCGTGGGAGACGTGCTAATCACAGATTAGACATCCTATTTGGGTGTCAATCTGAATCATCCTAAGAGCGCTCTACGAAGCTGGGCCCAGATTGGCTAGATACACAACAAGCTCCGGAAAGGTTGCTCGTCTGGTTAGCTCGCTGCTTGTGCTTTGATTGGCTGCTTGGTGTAACTGGGAGAGAGTTAGTTTGTAGCTAATCCTCTTGTCCAGTCATCTGCTGAGTCCACAGACACGATACAGTATATGCTAACAAGCTCTTATGCAGACCCCATAAACGCACAGCTGATTGAGTGACATAATACAGAGTACTGGGTAAAGCATCTTTCTCACAGTGCTCATAAATCAAGTCGAGTCATAAATCCTATTGTAGATGTTAGCGTTTGAAATATGATGGTGTTTAAAACTGCAGGTAATATTCAGCTAGGCTGTATAGATAACAGCAAATGAAGTAATAAACCCATCTGTATCTCCAGATAACCTTTGTAAGGTTTTAACCTCCCCCGGGGGCTTTCTCACCTCTCTACCAGCTGACTTTACTAAAGCTGTGACCAGTACGTGCGGGTTTCGGCATTTAATCACACATGTGATGTTCTTATACAGCACATGCCGACGACAGGTAAAGTCCGACAGTCTGAGTTTGAGATATTTGATTTGATCAGCAAGAGTTTATTTTGTGTTATCGTTTGTTTTGGTTTCAACTTTTGTTTCTACCTTTTCCTAGCAGACCTTGGTCATCCAAATAGCCTTATCAATGAGGTGTTGTAGGTAGGTAATTGCAAATAAAAGGTAAGTTGTTACTGATATACCATCAAGCTAAAGCTAAGTGATTATCAAATCACAGATACTGTTAGCATGTATGACTTAAGGTTTAAATAACCTGTGTAACTTATTTTAAAACCAAAAGATCAGAAGTGTTTGACACATCTTTACTGACTTCTATTCCTTCTTAGTGTTTATGTGCCATTTAACACAGAGTCTCTTCTAAACACATCTGTCCAGATCAATTAGTTGTTTTCATCATCTATTCATCTCATACACCTTTACATTTCCGTGTATCAGGTAAATCAGTAAAATCTTTAGTTTTGTCTCCAATTGAACTTCCCATCATCACTGACAATAACAAAAACACCATGAAGCCACTTTAAAGTCCTGATTGAAACTTAACACCAGTGATGGAAATCTCTGGAAAGAAAAGAGCACCGCAAGAAAGCTGAATGAATCCACAAACCCTTTTTCCGAGCAATGAAGCCTCCAGTAGGGAAACATGCAATATTGATACCTTTATTTCAGTACTTATGCAACAGTCCACACACTCCCAGTGGAGCTGCATTAGTGCACAAAAACATCACTGACACTTAACTTCCTCTTTTGCCCTTCAGTCACCACACTGGGATGAGTCCATTAGTGTTATGCGAATGTTTTGTCGTTAAATGTGGATCAACCCCCTGCGTCAGGACACTGCTGGTTCTGAACTACAGCCAGACATTCCTCCATCCCTGGTGGTGAGGTTGCTGGAGCAACTGGTCTGCTGCGGATGTCTGACAGTGGTGGGTCTTCTTTGTTTTAAGTTGCTGTTGTTCTGGGTGTCAGTGTTTCGGAGACTGTTGTGCAATCAGACTGACATTAAAGTCACGATACTAAACCTACAGTAAATTAGAGCCGTGACTCAGAAACGTATCACTGCGGCAGAATCTGTGTTCCCGACTCAACTACAAAGTTCAGTCTGTGCCTAAAAGTTCTCTCTAATCTCAAACTGCGAGCTTGTCACTAGTTGTTCTTGTGAAACTGATGACATAACATGAGCAGAAATCCCATCATTTGGTACAGTTAAACCTTTGACATTGACATTCTACCATTCTTTAGAAGTGGCTAACATTTAGCTATTTAAACACTTAGCACATACCCACCAGAGTTGTGGGCCTGGACACTACGCTGATAATAAGTCCAGTATACTGCATTTCTGACCTTTTCTCAGAATACGATTGGCATCATTTCTTGATCACCAAATCCATCCATGTCCCTTGAGACCACTTCTAACAGGATACAGTTCTTTCAAAGAGTAAAGTTTATCATTCCAACACTGCAATGATTTCCAGGAACATGATTTTTCTCTACAGGGACAGGCAGACAAAACATTCCAGCAAAATGCCTCTCATGACAGAGCTGCTACATCAACACACTGTAGGAGTTAAGGACTTTGGTTTTTCCTTTAATTTGTCAACCAGTTTCCGTGTGACTCTTCAATAGCTGAATGCGCCACCATGTTCAGCAATGTAGACCAAGGCAATGAGCAAGATGAAACAAGAGAGATGTGAGAGAGTTGCAGACCCAGAAAACAAAATAACAAGCTGAATAGCTTCATAGAGCTTACTGGAACCACAAAAAAACCACAGAACCACACGCTATTCATTGTTAAAAGAAAAATGTCATCCCAAAAGAACATGGTTCAGTCATGGTTCTTGTGTTGCTTTAGATTTACAACACAAGCACAATTACCTGTTCAGTACATGGATTCAAATGGCAAACATTTGTGCCAATCAAGTGGCAGAAAACACATGGGCATAGCAACACACACACACACACACACGCGCGCGCACACACACACACAGGCATCTGCTCTACAATTTATGTTTCGCCATTCCCAAGAAGATTATGACAGCAGGGATTAGGTTCCCACAGAATAATCCAGGGACCAAAAAGTGGATCGTATCATTAATATTCAGCAAAACCTCCACATCTCCACAACAACTAAATGACCGTCACATGTTAAGTTTCCCTTTTAGCCACAGTGCTCTACCTGCTCATCGTTTAAATACAGTTTCCACCTTGACATGTGGGGGATGGGTGTCAGGTCAGTTTGGTGAACCAAACTCACCAACAGACAACCAGGCTAATCAAGTCTCTCCACTTACTGGAGGAAAAACAAAACGATCCAATCAGAGAAATGAGGAGGTGTTTTCATGGCTGCTCCAAAATGCCAACAGCCAATCTTTCAAAATTGAACTGCAGCGCTGCTGAGAATGTTAAGTCGACATGAAGGCTGGAGCTCGGCCAGTTTCTCAGTGGAAGGCTAAAAGCCTGAGGGTGGTGAATATTTAAAAAAAAAACAAAAAAAAAAAAACGAAAAATCAAACTGAGTATCTGTAGGAAAACACAAATGGAGTTTCAGATCTTTAGAATCCAGTCTATGTTATGTTAATTTAGCATTTATTTTATATTACAGTTGGCCGATATCAAGCTTTTTCATGCACATATTTGAGCTGATTGACTGAACCATGTTCTTGTGTGGTCTTGTGTGATTAGACCAGTAGAGAAAGATATTTTTGGTGCTATTCCACCGTTTCTGTTAAAACTGGTGTTGCAGATGCAGGTGACGTTTAAACCGTTGATGTCATCCTGTGGAAAAGACAGACGGGACTTTTTAATGAGAGTGTTGGAGCAAAGTCGACCTTGCACGTCTGTGCTTGTGCTCATCAAAGAAATCTGTGTTGCTCCCGATAGTTTCACCATTACACACACACACACACACACACACACACACACACACACACACACACACACACACACACACACACACAC